ACATATTTTCATGAAATGTTAGATATGTCCACAAAAAACCCGTTAAAAGATGGCACTTAATGTTAACCTGCCGGGCGCTCAGCATAAGGACTGGCCGGTTCAGTATAGTATTTCTGAGCTGGGTATCCATGTTAAACTGTGCATAAGTCCGGACGAGTACAAACAGCCACACCCGTGCATGAACGTTACTACAACGGTGAAATAAGCTTGAACACGACCTTAAAACCCATTTCACCTCACCTCACCTCGTGTCAATGTAGGGGGGCACGGGTGGCCCAGTCGTCTAGGGCGATTCGCTGTGCAGAGCTGCGTCCCTTGGGCACGCCAGAAACCTATGGTTGTAAGTTCGAATCCCGTTATGTTTCTAGGTTTGTCAGCAGCATACCCGTGCTTGTGGGTTTTACCGAAGTGACAAACGTCTGAGACCTGCATCACTTCGGGCTTTCCTCCCACATTAAGCTGACATCTGGATTACTGTAAATTAAAAGCGGCGTTAAACCCGACTCACTCACTCACTCGTGTCAATGTACACTTTATACACGATGTGATTTCAAAATTAAAACTCAATGGTTAACTAAGTCTTGTACAAACCATTCTGAGCAGCCCCACTCGCTGATGTTCAAATTCGGCCACGACAGCACTTAATAAAACTCGTGGGAGTTGTTTATCGCAAAATAATTAAATTTTCGTTGTGTTCATGGAAATTTCTGCATTCTGATTAGTTGAATTGGTCACGTGTTATTGCATTCATTTCCCAATGAATGTAAAAAAATAAGCCACGCCCACCGCGGCGCACTACTTTTATTACTTCGGAATGTCGGGGAATCCCAATATTACAGTCGAGGGAATTCCCTTTCTGCTCACGTGTATCGTCATGCACAGGACATTTAGCGACTTTCATGCATATTCATTGTCCAAACTACCCTTTGAAACCGAAGGCCGAGAATGAATGAAACAGCAAACGTGCAGGCTCGCTCGCCTGTTTTTTTCCCGCTCGCCCCGGTTCAACTTTCATGTCTTCGGGTTTCATTTATAACTAGCATTTCTCCAACTGTGATTTACCGTAATCAGGGAAGTAATGTTTGAATCACGCAGTAAATGACCATGTTATTTGAAACTGCCGCCTTCTCTCGGACATATTTCTTCCGGTTCGTTACAGTCTGACTGTTGCAGTTCTTTTCACCTCTTGCCTTAATTGACAGGTCAAATGAACATTGTTTTAATCTCACTCTCCGTTGATTGGCTACTGACTGTGTAGGCGCGTCAAGTTATGTGCATAAATTAAACGATCACCTGATTCATGTCACGCCACTGTATGTATTCCTACACCTGGAATGTTTATCAATGTCGTCATTTTTGTCTGTTTTGATATATCCAACTGTTTTGGGTTAAACTATTGTAGATAAAACATGTTTTACGTTGTCGAATTTAATTATAAGCATTGACTGTATATTTTTTTCGGTTCATTGAGGTATGAATCGAAAAGCCGATGTGCAAACTTTTGTAAGAATCCGCTACGCGGATTCATACAAATTGCACATCGGCTTTTCGATTCATACCTCAATGAACCGAAAAATACACACAGTCAATCCTTAAATAATTTTTTAATTTCACGTTTACACGATATACGGCTTTTCCATTGGACGAGAGGTCGGTCACATGACCGCGAAATTGACGTTCATAAGTGGATGAACGACACAATTTGACGTTCATACGTTTTTCACGAGACCGTGTTCTTGAAATGACGTAAACACTGACGGACTACTTCCACATTCCTGGGGAAACCCCTGGGAATTCCCTACTACGAAAACATACATAAACATTATTTCTGATCATTTAGAACCTTTAATCTTGGTCTCAGCATTTCAGTATACATTGAGAAACGTAAGAGAGCTTGACTGCATGATTGTTCACGAATTTCCTCGCTACGGCCCATCCTAATGAACAAACGAAAAAATGCACATCCAAACTATCGTCAGTATCGACTCGATCTGTGTCTAGGCTGACATTGACCGTCTCCAGCAATCTACGAATTTACCTTGGTGTCTGTTTGACGCATCTTTAATCACCTTTCAATAATCGGTCAGTTGATCAATGATGACTAACACATGACCACTACAGGTTCATTAACAACTTCGGAAATCCTCCCGTCACGTTTATCGTGTCGGACATTTTGACGTAAATGTATTACGACGCGCTGTCATTGTGGCTGACTTACTGAGGTAGTTCATTACAGACATTTCTCATCTAATGGGGATATTATATGAACACATGTGTTGCGTAAGTTGTTTCTGAAGAGCAAGTTCTGCATCCATACGCTCATGTCACCTCTCCTTTTGGGGAACTATTTTATTCTGCGATATAGCTAGTTGTTGTTTGGCTATCAGTGTAAACATGAAGTCACACGTAAATTGTGACATCCTTTGAGGTAAGAAATTGTGATAAAAAATTATAAGAATTGACTTTCACTTTGTGTGAGTTCATTGGAGTATGAACCTCCATAGAGTGAGGGCCAAACATTGTATGAACGTCGTCGCAAGCTCTGACGTTCATACAGTTTGGCCCTCAGTACGACCTCATCAAGTTGCGAGCGCATGTTCGAATCTCAGAAAAATGGCGTCATGATAGAACAATGTCTTAAAACCACACTTTGTTCTTCTTTGTTCTATGCTATTTGTCGCGTAGCTATTATAAGAATACAAACGACGAGTGGGAGTTTTTTTGTCGTACAACCAAACACTGCAGGGAGAAAAAACCATGAGTGGCACATCTAAACCCTATTGTAAACCTGTCGTATTTTTTAATCGTAAAAGATTACCGTATAATGGATGTTGGTTGGTTTGTTGTTAACGCCGCACTCAGCAATATTCCAGCTATATAACGGCGGTCGGTAAATAGTCGAGTCTGGACCAGACAATCCAGTGATTGATATCATTGGCATCCATCCACGCAATTGGGATACGATGACATGCATCGAACAAATCAGCGAGCCTGACCAACCGATCCCGTTAGTCGCCTTTTACAACAAGCATAGTCGCCTTTTACGGCAAGCATGGGTTGCTGAAGCCCTATTCTACCCCGGATCTTCACGGGTCTATAACGGATGTACCTATATAAACTACGTACTTAACGCTTAATTCTGCGTTAAGTAGTTTATAGGTATGTAATGGGTGTACTAAATAAATAATAGTAGTGTAATAATAAACTACTTAACGCAGAATTAATACTTTGGTTAGCAAAATATTGAACACACTAGATAGTTGAAGAGTCTTTATTCATGAAGAACTTAAGCCTCCGGCCCATGTTCATACAGGTGCTCAGTCATCATATAAAATATGTAACAAAAGAAGTAATCAGTCAACATTGATCGATCTTTCTAAAGCAAATTGCATAATAAATAAACATAGCCAGTGTCTAACTTCATTCGAAATCCGGTGATACCAAAATCACATTGTATTTGTTACGTGTAGTGTATGATATAAATGTAGTAGGTTTGTAGCTTCTCAAGCAGTACACGTGTTTTATACCGGACACAAACAATCAAAAATGGTTGTCATCTTCGACGTTACCTTCCTTACAAAGAGAAAACAACCATTTATCTCTAGCAATATTGAAATACCTGCCAGTTTCTATTTTAAGATCATTGGAACTGCAACGAAATTGTGTCATGGCCACACGTAATTGTGCAATTGTTATTGTTGTGCATGTTAGGTATGTTTACATTGTAAGTGCGCCAATGCGCACGTGCAGTGACGTCACTTTAGGTGTGACGTCATTATGTTGTTGTAACCCAGGCAGCTGTGTGAGGCAGCGCCAGTTCTACATTAAACAGTGATTGAGCCAACTACGGTTTTGTTATGTATTGAAGATTTGATGTTCCTCCAATGTGCGGGTCGGACAAATAACATAATACATACACAACAGTTATATGCTAAAGGTACAAAATATACCACGCTTCGTTCTTCATTGTCCTTTGTGATTTATCGCGTTGCTATTCCATATTGGGTGATATATACAGTACGTGGTAGTAACTTAGCTAATGCATAGGTGATATACTATGTACATACAGTTACAGCAGCCAAATGGGTGAAAAGACGCTGTATCAGTGATCTATAACGCATGGGTGATAAACAGTTGCAGCTAGTAGTGGCCCCATGGGTGACACAGGCGCGGTACTAGTGGCTTAATTATTGAGGAAATATAGTACTTTAGTAGCAGTCTATATGTGTCCTGTGCAACACTGAAGCAGTTAATAGAACAATAACGGTCACATACACATCACCATGCCATCTCGTCCCGACATCTCTTGTCTATGAGACAGGTTTTGTGAGAATCCGCGATATTCGAATTGTCAAATTTACTGTGACAATTAAACTCTATCCCTCTAGGCCTAAATAAATTGCTCACTCATTCATAGCATATAGATTCGGGATTTTTTAAGTCCAGATAGCATTGTGTAGTTCCTTAGCAGATGTTGTTTGATAACAATAAGATCCAATAATTAATGCATTCTAATATTAACCATTCAAAATATATCGCGTGTCAAAATCACGCTGTTCCAGTATACATACCCACTGTGCAAATACATTATTTTGCGAACCAGCTATATAGATTGCAAACCGATGTTTTAATCTACGATGCCTAATAAGTACGTATAAATGAAAAACGACATGGTTCATCCACACATGTGAATTCCTGTTTGTGATTTGTTTAATTTATCAGGAGCAGATATATTGAAAACGAGTTGTATTTGTGACAAATCAATACCGTTATACACCAGCTGTCGTAACAGCTGGAGAGTACTTAATATCACGTACATATTAAATTATATGAGTTGTTTGGATAAGAACTAAGAATATTTATCTGACAATTGTTGAGTTTCATTCCCCACATGAGTGTGTGTGGTGAACAGCGCCTTCATTTGCAACACTACTTTTCATTGGTCCGTTGCTCGTCAGCTGTTAGAAATCGCACCAATGAAACCCTGCGTGTTATAAAATCTTGTGGTCTCACTAACAACAAACATGGTGCGGCATGGTGTGATCAGTGATAAAATGTGTCACTTGGACAATCACCCGAGATTGACCGACCACTACGCCGGTATTATTATTATTACTTTGTTAAGTTACGGTTTAATTGCCGACGGATGTTACTGACAAGAGCACGCTGTCAAAGACTTGCTGACTTGTATTCTGTTAAAGTTGTCATTTTTTTCAACGCACTTGCTGATAGATCACGGTGACTGCCTGCAGAAGGTTTAAAATCGCAGAGAAGTTGGTAGATCTACCAAGCTCAAGATGGATTTGTTGCGTTCAGTGTCCCACCCTGACGAAATACTGGCATTAGTGCGCTACAAGCTGGGAGACTGTCGGGCTGTCTTGCCACAATGCGATACGGTGAGAGAAATAATTGAGTCAATGAGCACGAGTGTGTCAATTGATATGTTAAATTAACATTATTTACCGTATTTTCTCTTTTTAGAGCTGGCTATAACTGGTGTACGTGTAAGTTTTGAAATAAGAGGGGGTTTAATGTAAACGGATTTTTGTGTGTGTCTTGTATAAAGTTGGTTCATATAAGGAGCACATACTATACAATCCATGCCCAGGCTTCTTCTCCGCTGTATGAAACTGTATGCATATATATATCTATATCTATAAAGTATTTTTTTTTTTTTGACCACTGATTCAATATAAACAAAAGGTGCATGTTAATTAATTCCTCCAACAAACAGACAAGAAGAATGGTGGAGGCATAAAGGAGAATACTTTATCTTTAACGCAGTCAATTATAGCATTTTTCTAGTATTCTCCTTTAGTAATGCTATTTGTTAATAACCTTGATATGTTATGGTGTGAGAATTAGAGGTTATTATATGGCAGTTTTCATATCATACCCCATATCTACTGATGACCCCTATATCAGCTCGAGGGCCAGAGGGTCGATATGAGGGTTGATATTAGGTATGGTATGAAAACTGCCATATAACTTTTTTATCATTTACCATGACATCCAATTGTAGAACATATCTATTTGCAAGTGAATGCAATACATAGAGGATATTTCACTTGTGAAAATATCTCCTTTCCCTCGTCATTGGACGAGTGAAACATGATATTTCACAAGGCACATTTTAGGGGAGTTCACACTTGTATGACTAGCTCCGTCAAAGTGTTATGTTCACAGCAGCGAAATATCATTTATTATGTTCACTGCAATGAAAATATCACTTTTCTCAGCTTTGGAAAACTCAATCTTTCACACTTATGTGTAAATTAATTTTTTTACCTTTTTTTAAAGACATAGTCATGGGAAAGCTTGTCGAGCAGATGCACCAAGGGACATAACTCCAATTTCTTTCCACCCAGTCTGTTACATCAGACCGTCAAGTGTGATACGGGTCTGGTTATTACATCCCTTGTGGTATAGGGGGTGTAATATGATTGTCTATATGTTGGCTCTATAGCACATGCAAAATGGCTCATATCATTGATAGGTTTATGATGAAAGGAAGTATGGCTAAAGTGAAATCGTATTCTGATTTCTGAAGTGCATATGACTGGTATTTATTTGGAATCCATTTCTGTATTTCGTTAAGTAGCAGGGCGTGGGGAGTGGAGTCATCCCACAGATGACATCCTCACCTTGTCAGCTTGGTCATGTGGACAAGGTGTCCAACCTCGGATCAGAGACCATATAATATATCTTTTATATGGTCTCTGCTCGGATCAGAAGGTTAAAGTTTCAAATCCCGTCGCGGGACTTGAAAACTTTATGTTCGCTACAATTGCTTGATATTTACATCATCCAGTATGTATTCAGCTTGTTCATACACTCAGAACAGAACCACCGTTGTTTTTCAGTCAACTAAATTTCATTTTAATACTTAATATAATGCAACAATCCCTTTGCACTTGTCATCCTCGCATCAATGTATATTTAATTTCACACCTGTGTATTTGTCGTTATTCACTTACTGCTCTGTTAATGAATTTATACCAAGAAAAATTAGTGGTTGTATAAGCGATATAAAACATACCACCCTTCAGACTACCGGACAAACACATGCACAATATGCACATGCCAACTGTTGTGGGAATTGAACCCACACTTGCCAGAGTGAGGGACTCAACCCAAAAAAAGTATGAGAATCTGTAATTTACTAAGAAAGTGTTATCTAAAATATAACATTTGTTACATTTGACCCCCTTCTAAATGGCATTGTGTATTCGTTGAGCTCTGTTTCACATGTTTCAAGATATCAATCCTACCTCTATCTCTGCATGCATGGCCCATTCATGTTTTACTGTTACAGGAGTTGATGACCCCGACTCTGAGAAAGTGTTACGAGTACCTGAGGCTGACGAGTCGGAGCTTTGCTGCTGTCATACAGGCCCTGGACGATGAACTGAGGTAAACATACGTGCAGAGCTCCAGATAATGAGATATGCTGTGTATTATCACAAAATATGTACATTAAATTATCATTACCCAATTAGTTTTGAGTTGCTTCCATGCACATGAAATATAGCAAAACCCATATCAACTATGTAACAAAACTGTGTCTAATCACCATGTTATGTTTGCATGAACTCGAGTGAACTGAATAGTGGGAGGTATTGTTTTGATAGTTCATCTTACTCTTGTATACAGACAGACAGATTAGACAGAAAGTAACAGCCAGATGATTTGTTTTTCGAATTTGTGGGGACCGGGGGGATTTGTCATCTTCTGATGACTTCTTTACAGACCGCCGTCAAAAAGCTGGAATATTGCTGAGTGCGGCTTAAACAACAAACAAACATTCATGTGATGTGATTGGAATACTGTTTGGAGCCGTGCCACGAAGACATGCCTGTGGTTATAGATCTCAGATTGACCTGCTTGAGATCTCTGGTCTGTGCACCATACCACTACTTGTGGGTTTCATCGAGGTTTTAGAATTTCACAACCTGCTGCACTTGGACTCTCTAAAACATTGGTTGAAACACTATGATTTTAATATCACATTGCTGTCTGAAAAAGACTACAATGTAATTCCCAAACAAATCTGGTTTGGACATGTTCCGCTGGAATCTTGAGGAACTCATTTCTACGAGAGGATATGTTCAATAGTTTTAGATTTATATTCCATAGATTCTCACTCTAATCAGAAGTGTGCACACACTGAATTTGTCTGGACAATATCATTTTAAGCATGAACATTGTTTTATGAGCAAACATGTAAATTGCTACAATTCTAGTACTTCTTCGGGCCTGAAATTCCACATAGAAACAGCTAAGACATGTAAAATGGCACCAAAAGAACTATGTAACCTTAGCTAAGTTACACACGATAAAACCATGTCCTACCCAGTTTTTGATCACTTGATTGATAGAGATACAAGCACCAGAAAAGATGTTGAAATCCTCATGTCAACTCCATCTTCATGGTCATTATAGATCATATTCATTTGAACTTCAGGGATTCAGTGTGCATATTTTACCTGGTTCTGCGAGCTCTGGACACTGTTGAAGATGACATGACAATCCCCAACGAAGTGAAGCTGCCCATCCTCAAGTCCTTCTACAAGAACCTGCTGGATCCCGACTGGTGCTACACAGACAGCAAGGAGAAGGACAGGATAGTGCTGGAAGACTTCCCTACGGTCAGTGCACTCATGAAAGGCTCTCCCTGAATGACAGCATGCTCTCCCTGAATCACAGGGTGCTCTCCCTGAATCACAGCATGCTCTCCCTGAATCACAGCATGCTCTCCCTGAATCACAGCATGCTCTCCCTGAATCACAGCATGCTCTCCTTGAATCACAGGGTGCTCTCCCTGAATCACAGCATGCTCTCCCTGAATCACAGCATGCTCTCCCTGAATCACAACATGCTCTCCCTGAATCACAGGGTGCTCTCCCTGAATCACAGCATGCTCTCCCTGAATCACAGCATGCTCTCCCTGAATCACAGCATGCTCTCCCTGAATCACAGCATGCTCTCCCTGAAACACAGCATGCTCTCCCTGAATCACAGCATTCTCTCCCTGAGTCACAGGGTGCTTTCCTTACCCACAGCTTTCTCTCCCTGAATCACAGGGTGCTCTCCCTTGAATCACAGCATGCTCTCCCTGAATCACAGCATGCTCTCCCTGAATCACAGCATGCTCTCCCTGAAACACAGCATGCTCTCCCTGAATCACAGCATTCTCTCCCTGAGTCACAGGGTGCTTTCCTTACCCACAGCTTTCTCTCCCTGAATCACAGGGTGCTTTCCCGACCCACAGCATGCTTTCCTTAAATCACAGGGTGCTTTCCCGACCCACAGCTTGCTTTCCCTGAGTCAAAGGGTGCTTTCCCGACCCTCAGTATGCTTTCCCGAATCATAGGTGCATTTCCTGAATTGCAACTCTGGGGTGATTTTGCAAGTCAGAGGGATCATGTGACTCCCAGGGTGCATTTCTCCAATCCTGGAGGCATTCCCTGACTCTCATAGGGCACATTCCAGTTGTTGATTTGCAATATACACCTACAGTGTGCATGACAACTAAAGTAGGTTTCAATTTGTTTGCAGATATCCTACGAATTCCGCAAGCTGTCCAAAATATCAAAGGAAGTGATATCAGACATATGTCGGCAGATGGGGGAAGGCATGTGCGTGTACATGGAGAAGAATGTAGAGACTCTGGCAGACTGGGACGAGGTATGTGTGTGTACATGGAGAAGAATGTAGAGACTCTGGCAGACTGGGACGAGGTATGTGAAGTTATACAGATGCTCAGATCAGACAGCACCATTGGCAAATATGTCCGCCATTACTGAGGGGAACGGGGATCAAATGTGGAGGGAGCTCTAGACGTTGAGTAAAAACAGGATAAATAATCATGCAATGCTTGGTTAGAAATGGTCCCCAGCAACCTATGCTGGTCATTGGAGGGGACAATATGGATGTTGTTGTTGGTGACATGGTTGATAGTGCGCATGCCTTCATACTGGATTGTCTGCACCAGTTACAGGATGCCGTCATATAGCTGGAGACCCGTGAAGATCTGGGGTAGAATAGGTCTTCAGCAACCCATTCTTGCCATAAAAAGCGACTATGCTGGTTGTAAGAGGCGAATAACGTGATTGGGTTGTCAGGCTTGCTGACTTGGTTGATGCATGCCATTGTTTTCCAATTGGGTGGATTCAGACTCCATTATTTACAGACAGCAGTTATATACCGTGTTAACGTAATAAGCAACAAGGGCGCTCTCAAAATTACAAATAGGGGGCTCCTATTAGAATATTATTTTGGTGGAAAAACAGAGTTGAAAGATACATTTCGTGGTTTTTGCTGACAGCCTGAAATGTTTATGTACTACAGATATATTTTTCCCGAATTTAATTGCCCATAATTAAGGGTGCATATAACACATGGTTGCGTATTATACGCGAATAAATAAGTCTTGTATACATTGATCAATCGGAAGGGGTGCTATTTGGGATTGTTCACTAGCTAATATGTTAGCAATTATCGCCATGGGCGCTTATTAGAGCGGGGCGCTTATTACGTAGAATACGGTAACTGCAGTGTTACTGAGTGCAGCGTTAAACAAAATCATATAGCTGGAATATATATATATCAGTTTTTTCACTATGTCAATATGGTTGATATTGAGAATGCCTTCATTCTGGATTGTCTGGTCCATTTACAATGTATACAGGCTGCCGTCATATAGCTGGAATATATATATATATATTTATCCACATTTTCACCATGTCAATATGGTTGATAGCGAGCATGCCTTCGTACTGGATTGTCTAGTCCATTTACAATGTATACAGGCTGCCGTCATATAGTTGGAATATATATATATATATATATATATCCACATTTTCACCATGTCAATATGGTTGATAGCAAGCATGCCTTCGTACTGGATTGTCTGGTCCATTTACAATGTATACAGGCTGCCGTCATATAGTTGGAATATATATATATATCCACATTTTCACCATGTCAATATGGTTGATAGCGAGCATGCATTCGTACTGGATTGTCTGGTCCATTTACAATGTATACAGGCTGCCGTCATATAGCTGGAGTATATATATATATATCCACATTTTCACCATGTCAATATGGTTGATAGTGAGCATGCTTTCGTACTGGATTGTCTGGTCCATTTACAATGTATACAGGCTGCCGTCATATAGTTGGAATATATATATATATATATCCACATTTTCACCATGTCAATATGGTTGATAGCGAGCATGCATTCGTACTGGATTGTCTGGTCCATTTACAATGTATACAGGCTGCCGTCATATAGTTGGAATATATATATATATATCCACATTTTCACCATGTCAATATGGTTGATAACGAGCATGCCTTCGTACTGGATTGTCTAGTCCATTTACCATTCGCATACATGCAGCTGTCATATAGCTGGAACATATATATCCGTCATTCACCATGTCAACATTGTCATGACATCATACATGTATCATTGCAGTATTGTCACTATGTGGCTGGCCTCATCGGAATTGGTCTATCAAAGCTGTTCTCTGCTTCTGGTCTTGAAGGGGAGTTTGTTGGGAGAGATTTGGATCTGGCCAACAGAATGGGTCTCTTCCTTCAGAGGACAAACATCATTCGCGACTACCTGGAGGACAGTGAGGAGGGCCGTGAATTCTGGCCCAAACAGGTATGTGGTGACACCTTTTTTGTCATAAAGATTGTAGAGGAATAGTGGCATAAGATGAAGAAACTTGCTGTGCACAGTTACGTCCGTTACCCAAGCCAGTTTCACCAGTGTTGCCCCTGTGGTGTCAAGGGTATTGGCCCATGTTTGAGCACAAGTACACCCCCAAGTTTGCTGGTGGAGGAAAGTTGGTGACTTGTGGTTCAAAGACCACCCCCAGTTTGCTAAAGCAGCTTTGTGATCAGTGATCTGTGAGTGCTGCGTCCATGCAACATTAACAATGTATTATCATATGTCAATTAAAATTCATCTACTGCCAAACGGATTGCAACACTCGAATTTGGTTATTGTCTTGGTGATGTAACAGTGATGGCTAAATCTGTGTTCACACCACAATAGTTATCCATGTCAGCAAACTGTAAAACTGTTGGTACAACTCCATTGCAGATTGATTGTGTATTGTATTAGTTCATTGATGTATGAATTGAAACAACGATACATGTACGATGGATTCTTACAAAATTTGTGGCATGACATTGCTTGGGAAATGAATGCAAAAAGTGGCCCAATTCAGCCAATCAGATTGTGAAGGAATTACAACGGTCAATGAACACAAAAATATATTAATTATTGCAGAATGGATTGTATGCGTTCTCATCAAGTTTTCCACCTTGATGCTGATGGTGGCTATTTGTACTTACAGGTATGGAGCAAGTATGCCAAAAATCTCCGCGATTTTGCTGACCCCTGTCACAGAGGTGAAGCTATCAGTTGCCTGAATGATCTGATCAGTAGAACCCTGGAACTCATCCCTGACTGTATCAAGTACATGTCTCAACTACAGAACAAGTCTGTCTTTCAGTTTTGTGCAATCCCTCAGGTGAGACAACATTTCAGGCATGTGAATCTTCACAACTGTGTTATGATTAACTAAAATGATGATGACTTGATTATTTCCTTGCTGCCATGATGTAACTAGAATAGTGCTGACTTTAATGTCAAATGAAAAATTCACTTACTTGCTTAACCTTTGAAGATTCATTGTTCTTGGCGTGTTGAATTGTAAATAGTGCAATAGACAGAATTTCCATTTATGTTTGTGCCTTGTGGTATTTGTACACTCAGTAAATATGCCCCATGGTGTTAGTACACTCAGTAAATATGCCCCATGTTGTTTGTACCCTCAGTAAATATGCCCCATGGTGTTAGTACACTCAGTAAATATGCACCATGGTGTTTGTACACTCAGTAAATATGCCCCATGGTGTTAGTACACTCAGTAAATATGCCCCATGGTGTTAGTACCCTCAGAAAAAATGCCCCGTGGTGTTAGTACCCTCAGTAAATATGCCCCATGGTGTTAGTACACTCAGTAAATATGCCCCATGGTGTTAGTACACTCAGTAAATATGCACCATGGTGTTTGTACACTCAGTAAATATGCCCCATGGTGTTAGTACACTCAGTAAATATGCCCCATGGTGTTTGTACACTCAGTAAATATGCCCCATGGTGTTAGTACACTCAGTAAATATGCCCCATGGTGTTTGTTCACTCAGTAAATATGCCCCATGGTGTTAGTACACTCAGTAAATATGCCCCATGGTGTTAGTACACTCAGTAAATATGCCCCGTGGTGTTTGTACACTCAGTAAATATGCCCCATGGTGTTTGTACCCTCAGTAAATATGCGCCATGGTGTTTGTACACTCAGTAAATATGCCCCATGGTGTTAGTACACTCAGTGAATATGCGCCATGGTGTTTGTACACTCAGTAAATATGCCTCATGGTGTTTGTACACTCAGTAAATATGCCCCATGGTGTTTGTACACTCAGTAAATATGCCCCATGGTGTTTGTACCCTCAGTAAATATGCCCCATGGTGTTTGTACCCTCAGTAAATATGCCCCATGGTGTTAGTACCCTCAGTAAATATGCCCCATGGTGTTAGTACACTCAGTAAATATGCCCCATGGTGTTTGTATACTCAGTAAATATGCCCCATGGTGTTAGTACACTCAGTAAATATGCCCCGTGGTGTTTGTACACTCAGTAAATATGCCCCGTGGTGTTTGTACACTCAGTAAATATGCCCCATGGTGTTAGTACACTCAGTAAATATGCCCCATGGTGTTTGTACACTCAGTAAATATGCCCCATGGTGTTAGTACACTCAGTAAATATGCCCCATGGTGTTTGTACCCTCAGTAAATATGCCCCATGGTGTTTGTACACTCAGTAAATATGCCCCATGGTGTTTGTATACTCAGTAAATATGCCCCCTGGTGTTTGTTCACTCAGTAAATATGCACCATGGTGTTTGTTCACTCAGTAAATATGCCCCCTGTTGTTTGTACACTCAGTAAAAATGCCCCATGTTGTTTGTACCCTCAGTAAATATGCCCTGTGGTGTTTGTACACTCAGTAAATATGCCCCATGGTGTTTGTACACTCAGTAAATATGCCCCCTGGTGGTTGTACACTCAGTAAATATGCCCCCTGGTGTTTGTACAGGTGATGGCTATTGCTACCCTGGAGCGGTGCTACAACAATCCAAGTGTCTTCACTGGTGTCGTCAAGATCAGGAAGGGGGAGGCAGTGAAGATGATCATGGGGTCGAACTCCACAGAGAAGGTCAAGGCCATCATGGTTCACTTTACTAATGAGGTAAGACGACGCAAATCTCTAGCTCACCGGCACCGTAAGACCTTGTGCTTGTGAACTTGTGGCATGGTGTGTTGTCTGCCATGTCTGTATGCCCATCCATCTGTCCATTTGTATGTCCCTCTGTAATTTTCTTCTTCAGGTGTTTGAAATTAAGAATTTCAGAAAGCACAAAACCTGAGAACTTCAAAATTTGGAAAATGTGTATGACCATAATGTGACTTGTTCATGGCACATAGTTTAATTAATAATATGGCCATGGAGTTGAAACATGGTGTCATTGACATGGCAGCCATGGTGGAAAACATATTATTAATATAAAAAGGAACAAAATTTGGTACATGTGTAGTTTGTAATAGGGCTCAACATATATAGTCTGTTTTATTGCAATATTTTAAACTTTTAACTTTGGCCAAAACAAAAGCTGAAATTTATGGCCATTCCTGTTCCAAATGAACCATGGCCTAAAGAGGGTAGCAGGTAGATCAAGGGAGACCACCGTTGTAAGCTCTTTCAACTTAGTGTATGTAAGTATCTTCATAGTTTGACTAGTTTACCTGTTCAGGCCAGTTACACCATGTAGTGGCTTCTTTAAAATGTCATGTCATTGTTTTTGTTTTGTCGTGGTAAATCATAATGAATATATGTAAATTGTTGTCTCCTTCAGATATCAAGTCGCATTCCTGCCCGTGATCCAAATGCAGAGAGAACTAGAAAACTGTGTGAAGATGTCCTGGCCTGCTGCAAGACAAAACAGGAGTTCACCACGTCAAGCATCTACCCTCCCCTCTACATGTCCTGTGCCATGATGCTGGCAGCCATCTCCTACAACTACTGGTCCCAGATAGAGGCCGTCTATCACTCGATGACGTAACAACTGGGATAGAGGCCCTCTATTGTGTGTCCTGTGGCAGCCTTCTCCTACAACTACTGGTCCCAGATAGAGGCCGTCTATCACTCGATGACGTAACAACTGGGATAGAGGCCCTCTATTGTGTGTCCTGTGGCAGCCTTCTCCTACAACTACTGGTCCCAGATAGAGGCCGTCTATCACTCGATGACGTAACAACTGGGATAGAGGCCCTCTATTGTGTGTCCTGTGGCAGCCTTCTCCTACAACTACTGGTCCCAGATAGAGGCCGTCTATCACTCGATGACGTAACAACTGGGATAGAGGCCCTCTATTGTGTGTCCTGTGTCATGATGTTGACAGACATATCGAACAACTACTGGTCGCAGATAGAGGCCGTCTATCACTCGATGACGTAACAACTGGGATAGAGGCCCTCTATTGTGTGTCCTGTGTCATGATGCTGGCAGCCTTCTCCTACAACTACTGGTCCCAGATAGAGGCCGTCTATCACTCGATGACGTAACAACTGGGATAGAGGCCCTCTATTGTGTGTCCTGTGTCATCATGTTGACAGACATATCCAACAACTACTGGTCGCAGATAGAAGCCGTCTATCACTCGATGACGTAACAACTGGGATAGAGGCCCTCTATTGTGTGTCCTGTGTCATCATGTTGGCAGCCATCTCCTACTACTACTGGTCGCAGATAGAGGCCGTCTATCACTCGATGACGTAACAACTGGGATAGAGGCCCTCTATTGTGTGTCCTGTGTCATCATGTTGGCAGCCATCTCCTACTACTACTGGTCCCAGATAGAGGCCGTCTATCACTCGATGACGTAACAACTGGGATAGAGGCCCTCTATTGTGTGTCCTGTGTCATGATGTTAACAGACATATCCAACAACTACTGGTCGCAGATAGAAGCCGTCTATCACTTGATGATGTAACTACTGGGATAGAGGCCCTCTATTGTGTGTCCTGTGCCATGATGTTGATACTGGTGGCAGATAGAGGTTCTCTATATTCATATCCACAACTATTTATCTCAGGCAAAGGCACAGATGCCAGTTGTCTAAGGAGTAGTTCCTTTTTTCAAGAGTTCCCAGGATGCAATAATTGTGGGATCTGAGATCTGCATCACTTTGGGCTTTCCTCTCACATTAAGCAGATATTTTTTAAATACTTTTGTAATCATCTTGCATTTGATTTCATGAGGTCAGAGTAGTTGCAGATGGTTTTGTGAAACATGGTCTAAATTTAACCAACATCCTATCAATTCGCTTGATTCCCAAACAAGACTTAAAGAATGAAAGCATGAGTTGTTTCTGTTATTGCATTTGGTGCAAGTAGATGTCTGGTAGTATATGTGAGTATTTGTGTTGCTTTATGCCATTCCATGCTGAAGGTGAGTGATTATATGTATATATGTGTGTTGTGAGAGAGAGATCAGAACCGCAGTATCATTGTGTGTGGAGATTGCCAGTGTTAATAACATGAGCCAGGCGCATTGGGTGCTCCAAGGGTTTCATTTGAGGTCAAAATATTCCAAGGTTTTTCTTTTGAGGGGATGTTGATGTCCCAAGGTTTTGGTTGAGGTCGGGGAATGTTACACAGTTAAAGGTGAGGCCACCTGGGTGTTCCGTGACGTACAGGAGGTCACAGAGCACCTGAAGTAGTTTGGCTTTCTTTTGAAATCCCTGGGGTGCTCAAAGCTTTTATATTAGGTATGTTGGGTGTTCAATTCATTATTATGAGGTCACAAGATTTCATTTACATCTCCTGTTCACACACTTTTTAGACACTGGCAGTGTGGTTTCAATATTGTGTGTTTTATCATTTTCTGTGATACATGGTGCTTTAACAATAAAATGTTACATTATGGAGAAACAATCGCGTTTTTTGTGCATTGCTAAGGTCAGCTGACACCACACTTGAAAGCAATATTCTAGAAAAATCAGGTGAGCTGCAGAGCTTTGTGACTATCTTATTTATTTAAATTTTGAGAGAGACGCAACACTCGCCTGAATTTTTCTCAATGTTGTATTGGATCAGAAAGGTGCCATCTTCAAAAATAATAATCGAAGATACCTAAAATCACTGTCTGTGTGTTTTACTATTGTATGTGACAGAAGATATTTTTACTACAAATCTTTGCATTACCGAGACAGGAAAAACCTGCAATGTTTAGACCAGGTACCGTTTGAGAGTGATGAGAATACATTTTTCGAAGGTGGAATTTAAGAATGAAATTATATGATAAAGAGGTTAGGGAAACACTATGTACCTACCTCGCCAAGGCTCGCTAGTTACAATGTTGATTCTCAATGTGGGATATTTACCATCCCATAGCCACAAATAATGTTCATTAAAACATATTTATGCATAAATAACGTGTTTGTTGTTTAACGCCGCACTAAGCATTATTCCAACCATATTACGGCAGTCTGCAAATAATCGAGTCCGGACTTGACAATCCAGTGACTGACATCGTGAGCACCGATGTACGCCATTGGGATACAATTACATTACATCAAACAAGTCAGCCAGCCTGACCACCCAGTCCCCTTGGTCGCCTCTTTGACAAGCATAGTCGCGTCTTGGACAAGCATGGATTGCTGAATACCTATTTTACCCCGGATCTTAACGGGTTGCATGAATAACTGGCTGAGCTGGATTTACTGGGAACAGGTCAAAATGGCCACAGGCACACGAGTCACATGAAAAAGTATAAAATATGAAAAGTGTTAGTTTCTATTTATTCCCACAAAGATCAGCTCAGCATACCAACCTTGCTTATGCTTGTAGTAAGAGGCGACTAACGGGATCGGGTGGTCAGGCTCGCTGACTTGGTTGATGCATGTCATCGATCCCAATTGCGTGGATCGATGCTCTTGATATTAATCACTGGATTGTCTGGATCAGACTCGATTATTTACAGACAACCGTCATACAGCTTGAATATTGCTGAGTGCGGTGTTAAACCAACCAACCAACCAACCCTTCTGTCAGAGGAGGTAAATCAATTTATTCCAGCCTTCTGAATGGTAGTTTTACGGAGATATGTCGGATTATTCTTCTCTCAGTATGCATCAGACTGTCCTGGTCAGTCTTGGCAATTACTGGTTTGTCAGATACACACTAGGAGATTGCTAGCAAGTAGTCCATGGCATTATTATTACTATTAATTGTTAAGTTTATTACATCACTGGCGGTGAGATAGTCATATCTGTCACTGAAATAGATATTGACCCTATGTCGAGTGAGTGGTGAGAACAAACATCTATCTATATCTATATATGTTTATTAAAACCAAATACAACAATTCACGGCAGTTTCTTAGAAGAAAATTCTTAAAAAAAATTCACGATTTGGAAAAATGATTATTAACAACAACTTATATGTACAAATCTCAGTTTAATTATGATTCCACACATCTTCCTTCAGCTTCAGGCCCGGCTTTCGGCATCCTCCATATTAACCACAAGGTTTTCGCGATCTTTACTTACCTGCCTTTAATTTCCTTCAGCAAATTTGATTGGCTACGCTACCAGTTTTCACGTACCAATCAGAATGCGAGTTACAAACCGGTCTCAAGGTTGGGTTGGCGATATCTCAACAACATAGAGGCAAGCACCATTGATTACGATAGAGTTCGTGAGAAATTCAACGTTGAAAAACGCAAATGAAAGTCCTCAAAAATCGTTTTGATTGAAAGGATGTCTTCACGTCCATACAAACTCACGGTTGCTTTTGTTTCTAGACTATACGAGTTACCTCCCTTACCCATTTTCTTTTCCCCTTATCTCGACGTTTTATTGGTCGGTAAAATGTAAATACAAATCAAGAGCCGGTAATTTAAGATCGCGAAAACCTCGTGAATGCGTTCAGGGTTGAGTGTAGGTTTACCGAAATGCGAGCCCTGGATATATTGAGGACTTCGGCGGTTTGTTGAAGATGCTGAAGGACAGACGACGTGCAATGCCCTGGCTAACTTGACCCTTCGGTCCTGTAGAGGGAAAGACCATCAACGTTTGTAATAGGGGTCATGGACCCGTTAAGATCCGGGTTAGACTAGGTCTTCAGCAACCGTACATGCCGTGAAAGGCGATTATGCTTGTCGTAAGAGGCGACTAACGGGATCGGGTGGTCAGGCTGGCTGACTTGGTTAATGAATGTTATAGTATCCCAATTACGTTAATCGATGCTCATGATGTCAATCACTGGATTGTCTGGTTCAGACTCGATTATTTACAGACTGCCGTCATATAGCTGGAATATTGCTGAGTGCGGCGTTAAAAAACAAGCAAACACAAGGGTCATGGGTGTGACCACAATGAACAATGAGACCCCCGACGGTGTAATTGCATTTGACGGGCTCTAATTAGTAGGATACCAGTTTTAATCATGCTTTTTGATGATGTTCCGGTTTCAGTTTTTTTCAGATACTAAATGAAATAAATTGTAGTCAAGTTTTTGAGGTGCGATAGCCCTATGACACAGTCACCGTTCGACATACCTCAAATACGCAAACTGGCCAGACGTCCTAGTAGCTCTAAAATAGTACTGTCGCGAATACAAGGAACATTTACTGTCTTAAAACAAGAATAACGGTTTTCAACATGATTTATACACAGCGACGCCACATCGATGCTCTTTGTGTTGAACACATGACTGACACCAGAAGTTTCAAGTCGAGATGGTTGAGATATTTTAGATAGAATTAGGTTTGGACATTGCAAGTGTCGTAACTCGCTGATGGATATGCATGAAGGATGTGAGTGATATTTGGCATACGTCATCTTGCCCCAACTAGCCATAAAATATTAAGAACTATGTCTACATGCGTTTGTCTAGTCTGTCATACAGAAACAGAAACAAATATAATATTTGGCTAGTCTAGATTACTGCAGTTTAAATTGAAAGTCTATTGGCCGTTTTTTCATTATATTTTATTAAGATAATTCAACAACTTATCTTGTGTATACTATGTTCATTTCAGAGACTAGTTAGTCTAGCGATTGTCTTACAGATGGTAACGTAATAAATTGACATAAAACCGATTATAAAAAGAAGTTTTGTGACGTTGCTTTATGGTTGGTTACAAGACCATATAAACCTGCAAAATACCACCAACTCCATTTGATATTTCTGGCATGGTTTGCTCGTCTTCTAGTTTCCACACCCTACGAGATTCAAGATTAGAAAGATTTGTACGAATGATGTCACTTCTAAAGTTGCGGTCGTAATTGTTGATCATCACGCGTCCACCTGGAAAATAACATTAGTTGTATACCAGAAGGGGAACAGGAACGTGCCTGTGTAGTACAATACCTATCCGCAACAGGTACTTGAGCACGACGTAGAAACAGTTTATGCTATCACAACTCCATACAATGAGATCCATACTCCCATACACCATAGATCCATACACACACAGAGACCTACAGTGTCACAGCCTCACACACACAGACCTACACAGCCTCACACACACACAGACCTACACAGCCTCGCACACAGAGACCTATACTGTGACAGCCTCACACACACAGACACCTACACTGTCACAGCCTCACACACAGAGACCTACACTGTCACAGCCTCACACACAGAGACCTACACAGCCTCACACACACACAGACCTACACAGCCTCACACACAGAGACCTACACAGCATCACACACAGAGACCTACACAGCCTCACACACAGAGACCTACACAGCATCACACACAGAGACCTACACAGCATCACACACAGAGACCTACACAGCCTCACACACACACAGACCTACACAGCCTCACACACAGAGACCTACACAGCCTCACACACAGAGACCTACACAGCATCACACACAGAGACCTACACAGCATCACACACAGAGACCTACACAGCCTCACACACACACAGACCTACACAGCCTCACACACAGAGACCTACACAGCATCACACACAGAGACCTACACAGCATCACACACAGAGACCTACACAGCATCACACACACAGACCTACACAGCATCACACACAGAGACCTACACAGCCTCACACACAGAGACCTACACAGCATCACACACAGAGACCTACACAGCATCACACACAGAGACCTACACAGCATCACACAGAGACCTACACAGCATCACACACACACAGACCTACACAGCATCACACAGAGACCTACACAGCATCACACACAGAGACCTACACAGCATCACACACAGAGACCTACACAGCATCACACACAGAGACCTACACAGCATCACACAGAGACCTACACAGCCTCACACACACACAGACCTACACAGCATCACACACAGAGACCTACACAGCCTCACACACAGAGACCTATACTGTCACAGCCTCACACACACAGACACCTACACTGTCACAGCCTCATACACAGAGACCTACACTGTCACAGCCTCACACACTCACATACATTCATGAACTTGCATAGAAACCCACACTCCCAACCTCATGCATAGAGATTCTCGCCACCACATAAAGGATCTCTGACAAATGATAATATCTATTATCTAGACCTTATTACTATTTAAATTGCTTAAAACTTCATGGCACACGCCAACTCCTTCGGATATGTACAAGCTCCTGTATTTTATCCTTGTAACATACCTTTCTCCGTGACCCTTGCCAACTCCTCAAGAGCTTTCAATGGGAGTTTCTTCATGATTTCTGAACTCAGACCCACCATTGTCACCACTGTGTAGCTGTCTGTGAACAACCAGGTATACCGTAAGCAAGTTGCGGGAGGTATATGAGCTATAGGCGGTATAGCAGAAATAGGCGGTGTATGAGGTATAGGAGATATATGAGCTATAAGAGATATTGGAACTATGAGATATGGTGGAGCTATAGGATATATATGAGCTATAAGAGATATAGGAGCTACAAGAGATATAGGAGTGAGTGAGTGAGTTTGGTTTAACGCCGCTTTTAACAGTATTCCAGTTATATCACGGTGTGTCAACTTCATGTGGGAGGAAGGCCCGAAGTAATGCAGGTCTCAGACGTTTACCACTTTGGTGAAATCCACGAGCACGGGTATGGTGCTGACAAACCAAGAAACATAATCGGGATGAACCGGGATTCGAACCTACAATCATAGGTTTCTGGCGTGCCCATGGGACGCAACTCTGCACAGCGAATCGTGGCCCCTTAGACGACTGGGCCACCCGTGCCCCCTGGAGCTATAAGAGAAATAGGAGGCACATATAAGAGATATAGGAGGTATATGAGATATAGGAGCTTTAAGAGTGGCCTTCGACGAATATCTTCACAAACCGTACGTCGCCGCCTCAGATGTGCAGGGATTGTCGCCAGAAGACCCGCCAGACGTCCCATTTTGACAGGAAACCACCGTCAAGCACGTCTACAGTGGTGCAGACAGCGTCTACGCTGGACGGCCATGCAGTGGGGACAAGTTCTATTCACTGACGAGTCTCGTTTTCACCTCAGCCACAGCGATGGACGGATTCGAGTGTACCGACGTCGAGGTGAACGTTACGTCAATCATTGTGTCATGAGAGAAGATCGGTTCGGGGGCGGCAGCGTTATGGTATGGGGTGGGATTACAGCAAGACAGAAGACCCGTTTGATAGTGGTAGAGGGAAATCTCAATGGACAGCCCTACCGCGACGAGATCATCGGCCCTGTTGTTCTACCGTTTTTGCGTCGTCATGGCCCGGGAATTACCTTTCAACATGACAACGCCCGGCCTCATATTGCTCGACTTGTTCAGGATTCTCTTCAACAAAACAACGTGAATGTCATCCCCTGGCCGACTCGCTCCCCTGATCTCTCACCAATCGAGCACATGTGGGATGAGATGGATCGGCGCCTTCGACGTCAACCACGTGTTCCACAGACACTCCAGGAACTTCGAAACATGCTCCAGCAGATATGGACAGATATCCCACAGGACTCTGTGCGACGCCTGGTCCATTCCATGAGACGAAGATGTGTTGCTTGCATCACAACCAGAGGTGGACAAACACGCTATTGATTTGTAGATTGAGATTTTGGCATGTTCATTTTTTTTAATGAAATCACGCATTTTCTTAAGTCAGTATGGCAAATTAAACCATTTGAACACTTACAGGAGTCTTTTATCTGTTGCAAACCGAAATTGTTTCAGATTTGGTAAAAAACATAACTTTGCATTAAATCTTATTCAATGTCACAGGAACCTTTGTTGTTCAGTATATATGAGCTATAGGAGATATAGGAGCTATAAACAATATAGGAGCTATAAGAGATATGGGAGCTATAAGAATTATAGGAGCTATAAGGGAAATAGGAGGTATATATAAGAGATATAGGAGGTATATGAGATATAGGAGCTTTAAGAGTGAGTGAGAGAGTGAGTTGGGTTTAACGCCGCTTTTAACATTATTCCAGTCATATCACGGCGTAGAAGCTATAAGAGAAATAGGAGGTATATATAAGAGATATAGGAGGTATATGAGATATAGGACCTATAAGAGATGTTGGAGCTATAGGATATATATGAGCTATAAGATATATAGGAGATATAAACAATATAGGAGCTATCATATGTATATGAGCTATAAGAGATATAGGAGCTATAAGAGATGTTGGAGCTATATGATATATATGAGCTATCAGATATATAGGAGCTGTTAGAAATATAGGGACTATAAGATACTAGTATACAGGAGGTATCAGTTTACCTATATCTGCAGTAATACCATTGTAATGCAACTGTACGTCATCTGACTCACCATCCGCAATATCAAGCGTGTTTTCCCCGAGAACATCACAGATGTATCGCTCATATAAGTTGCTTTTCTTGGCCTCATCCAGCATGTTTTGGGACGGCTCCAGACCATCAATGTGAACAAATCCATGTTTCCTCATCTGAAATATTTGGACACTGAGCGACTTCCTTGATGTGTCATAATTCAGGCACATTTTCTGCCTTTCACATGGACGATTAGTATAACATAAGTTGTCATTAACCTTGACAAATACGATGCTGCATGTGTCACAACTAATACAGCATCGACAGTCGCTATATGCGTGATCTCTGCTACCTCGACAGAGGTCATGCTATATGCGTGTTCCCTCCTACCTTCGCTGGGGTCATGCTATATGCCGACCGCCTCCGTGGTCTAGTGGTAGAGCGTCCGCCCGGAGAGCGGAAGGTCCAGGGTTCGATCCCGGGCCGCGTCATACAAAAAGACGTTAAAAGATTGTACTTGTTGTTACCCTGTCTGGCGCTCGGCAATAAGGGGCTTAAACAAGGACTGGTCGGCTCGGAGTCAGTATACTGTGTCTGAGTGGGGTATTCATGTTAAACTGCGGCATGGTATCTCAGTGAGCTAGCACTATAAATCGGCATCAGTCCGGGCTAGTACAAGCAGCCACACACACACATACACGTGCATGCACGTCGCTATATAAGTGCAATAATCTTGGACGCGACGTTAAACCCAATTTCACCTCACCTCATGCTATATGCGTTATATCTCCTACCTCGACGGATGTCGTGCTATATGCGTGATCACTCCTACCTCGACGGAGTTGATACTGTATGCGTGATATCTCCTACCTCGACAGAGGTCATGCTATATGTGTGATATCTACTACCTCGACAGAGGTCATGCTATATAGAGATTACTACACGAGTGTCTGTCAGATACCATTGATCTTACAACGAGTTGTTTCAAATAACGAGCGAAAGCGAGTTAGATACGCTTTGTAACGAGATGTAAGATCAGTGGTATCTGACTGGCACGAGTGCAGTAATCTGTTTCTTACACACCCTAAAATCGCACCTTTTTAGCATCGAAGCGATGCATTTTGTCTATTCTCATGATTGCAGTAGCGCATTAATACATAACACCACTGTCATAAGTGACGTCATCCTATGTACTGCTTACTACTCATAAATAATGTGACCCTACACAAAAAGGTTTCCGCTATGTCTGTGGATTATCAAGGCGATGATGATAATGCAAACAAGACAAAAACAAAGAACAGGCTGGATCCCGAGTTAAAGGTTTACACCTCAAAGAAATTACCAAATATGTACAACAATGTTTACTTCCGTATGGCATCACTGCCGGTGACCGACTTTTACAAAGTGGCGTGTTTCACTGACAACAGTACGCGGGATTTCCAGAGGAGGATTTTCGTTGATTGAGGGATCGTATATATATAAATGTGTCACGGATGTAAACAGAAACATTCTGTCAATCTGCGTACTGTTATTTGTTTGCCATGTTTTCCAATGTAACAAAGAGAATTAGTCAGAAATGCAGATAACTACCGTCGTCGTTGTGCGTGATTTAGCGTCAGTCATGGCGTCACACAGGACGGACACTTTTACGGCTTCTGTTGAATTTACGACATCATTGCAATGTATATGTGTGTATTCCATAATTAGTGCAACGATTCTCTTCCCATGAATATTCTCAAACGCGTGATCGAGCCAATGTATGTAACAATTAGACGAAAGTACCTGTAGTAAAAATACGTATACTACACAGTGTAAAATCTGAATTTTGCTTTGTTAACATTTCGGCAAGTACAGCTTTCCGAGCACAGTTTTCGTTTCCATACCTAATTTATTTCGCATGATTTCATCTAGATAATTTGCATTGGTGACAAAGACCATTTGTCATTTGTTTCTAAAATGTATGAGGAATTCAGGGATGCATGTATAGCAGCTGTGTTTGAAATATACCAGATCGAATAGGCGTCTCATAACCGGCATTTTGTAAACACAATCCAATATGGCGGAACGTACACTTCGGCGTCCGTTTATGCGTATTTTCCAAAACATTCGAAACGATTCTGGGCTTATCAGCGACGTTTCAGAATTATCATTAGTGATTTGATACCCGTGATCACTAATATGCTATTTTTCTGCTTTAATTAATCGTGTAAATATCCGATATTTAGATTTCTAAACACACAGTAAATAGCGCCGTGAATTGTGATTTGGCGTGATTTACAATGTACCTAATTTTCAGAAGTAACTTTCAGTAATTTAGCTTTCCCTAAAATGACAGTAAATGATAAACAGAAGGTGGAATTCAAAACTATGAAATGTATTAGTTTGCGTGATATATTTTTAATTTTATTCGATTTCGAAGTTGAAGAGGGGGGACATATGTGTCGCTGTGGCATCCAGGGGGTTTACACTCTGAAAAATGACGATGTTGACATAACAACAGATAATGTAACTGATAATAATAACAAACAATCTCGCAGACGAGGACGAGTTTGTTTATTTTTATTATTAATTACACGGTCCTGTTGTTCAATACAGACGTAAGTGAATATTCGACTGAAGCACGAGCAACTTATGAATGACTTACACTCAGGGAAGTAGTCCGTCATCATCTGACCTCAGGTCATCACCACGGAGTAGCCAATCACGGGCCTGGAATTCGATCTCACACATATGCTTGATACCAGTTATCTCAAATGGGTTTCTCACCCACAGGTGTGTAAGAAATGTGTGATCTCTCCTACCTCGACGGAGGTCATGCTATATGCGTGATATCTCCTACTTCGACGGAGGTCATGCTATATGCACGATCTCTCCTACATCGATAGAGGTCATGCTATATACGTGATACCTCCTTCCTCGACGGACGTCATGCCAATGTGTGATCTCACCTACCTCGACGGAGGTTATGCTATATGCGTGATCTCTCCTACCTCGATGGAGGTCATGCTATATGGGTGATACCTACTTCCTTGACGGAGGTCATACCAATGCGTACTATCTCCTACCATGACGGAGGTCATGCTATATGCATGACATCTCCTACCTCGACAGTGGTCATGCAATATGCATGACATATCCTGCCTCGACGGAGATCATGCTATATGCATGATATTCCCTACCTTGATGGAGGTCGTGCTATATGTATGACATATCTTACCTCGAAAGCGGCCATCCCTGTGCCAGCAGCCACATCCAGGATCTTGACGTTCTCTCGATTGCTGGGATACAGAGCTGCCAGGCTTTCGCCCATCCATTTCGGCCCCTTGTAACCGATTAGGGTCTGCGCCTGATAGAATATCACGTGATAAAATCATCCCAACTGACAAGAAAGTAACGCACGACAGTATGACACTGTGCCGACTGAGAAAGCATATATAACCTTAAATCTGACTTTTTCTTTTTTAATAAGGAACATATACCCAGTCTAATGAAACCACTTCCAGATTGTGAAAACACATTCCCGATGCAGCAAAGAGCTGTTGAGGTGTGGGTGTCGGGTTGTGGGTGTCGTAGGGCGTGTGGTCAGGTGTTTGATGCCCTAATCAACTGAAAATAATGACCTTCATCTAATGCTTGTCAAAAAAATTCATGACCCTCCCCTTGTCCTTGTATGACCTTCCCCCAAAAGACAAAATGCAAAAGCACAAAAATATTATTTATGTCCATTTCCATTAGACCCTCCCCAGATATGTATATTATTGTTTATGACCCTCCCCATGAGACCCCACCATAAAAAATGACCGGTACCTTGACCATACCGCATCAATGCCCGACTCTAAGGATGCACATGTTCATACATTTTCGAGTTGTTTGAAAAACAAGTTGTTTGATCATTAACTTGGACATACAATGTCCGACCCGTGAAGATGTAAATCACTGAATTGTCTGGTCCTACTCAATTATTTACAGACCGCCGACATATAGCTGGACTATTGATGAGTGCGTTAAACAACAAAACAAACAAACGTACAGTGTCCAAATCATCCCTACCGCGTAAAAGGAAATATACTGAATATCAGATCCATATTCTAACGCCTCGTGGTTCCAAAAGAAAAACGAAACAGTGCCGACAGTTGCGGTTAAATGCTGACAAACCTACAGAATAATCCCCAGTCACAAACGAGTGCTTTACTATCGCTTCAATATGGTCCCTTGACATTGTCTCAAATGTCGTGTTGTGACTTGAGTATCAATACATTTTTAATCTTAGCTTTTAAATGTTAACCAATACCAGCTACTGTACCTTGTTGTACTGTTCACTTATTTCGTCGAATCGTTTTACAATAGTGTCATTGTCCAGGCCCTTCGTTATCACATAGTTCACGATTCTTTGTCCCTCCTGCACCTCCTCGGGTGTAAACTGTGGCTCAGCCATCGCTAGTGTTTGCCAGGGGTAGCTGCTGATAAATACACGTGTATATCAATATAACCGTCGCAGTTGGTTTCTTATCAAGAGTAGCATTCTTGAACGCTTGAACTTTGATCATCACTACACTTACTATTATCCCATATCCGTGAAGATCCGGGGTAGAATAGGGCTTCAGCAACCCATGCTTGCCGTAAAATGTGTGTACAGTGTGCGGGGCGTGATGCGACTCTGAGTACATTCTCATGATGTTAATCACTGAACTGAAATATTCTGAGAAAGACAGTTATTCGTCATTACTAATTAACTCAGGTTCTGTGCTCGTACACATTTCATTGTCTCCATAGTAACAAAACTGGGAACATGCAAATCAAATGAAAGACATGAGATTAAATTCATATTACGTCTGAGAACCCCAATGCTGCTGGATTATCACACAACATGTACCACCATTTCCGCACAGAAGGACAGTACCACACGTACCACCATTTCCGCACAGAAGGACAGTACCACATGTACCACCATTTCCGCACAAAAGGATAGTACCACATGTACAACCATTTCCGCACAGGACAGTACCACGTGACCACCATTTCCACACAGAAAGGCAGTACCACCTGTACAACCATTTCCGCACAGAAAGACAGTACCACATGTACCACCATTTCCGCACAGAAAGACAGTACCACATGTACCACCATTTCCGCACAGAAAGACAGTACCACATGTACCACCATTTCCGCACAGGACAGTACCACGTGACCACCATTTCCGCACAGAAAGACAGTACCACATGAACCACCATTTCCGCACAGAAAGACAGTACCACATGTACCACCATTTCCGCACAGAAAGACAGTACCACATGTACCACCATTATCGCACAGAAAGACAGTACCACATGTACTACCATTTCCGCACAGAAAGACAGTACCACATGTACCACCATTTCCGCACAGGACAGTACCACGTGACCACCATTTCCGCACAGAAAGACAGTACCATATGTACCACCATTTCCGCACAGAAAGACAGTACCACATGTACCACCATTTCCGCACAGAAAGACAGTACCACATGTACCACCATTTCCGCACAGGACAGTACCACGTGACCACCATTTCCGCACAGAAAGACAGTACCACATGTACCACCATTTCCGCACAGAAAGACAGTACCACATGTACCACCATTTCCGCACAGAAAGACAGTACCACATGTACCACCATTTCCGCACAGAGAGACAGTACCACATGTACCACCATTTCCGCACAGGACAGTACCACGTGACCACCATTTCCGCACAGAAAGACAGTACCACATGTACCACCATTTCCGCACAGAAGGACAGTACCACACGTACCACCATTTCCGCACAGAAGGACAGTACCACACGTACCACCATTTCCGCACAAAAGGATAGTACCACATGTACCACCATTTCCACCCAGAAGGGCAGTACGACATGTACAACCATTTCCACCCAGAATGGCAGTACCACATGTACCACCATTTCCGCACAGGAAGGCAGTACGACATGTACCACCATTTCCACCCAGAAGGGCAGTACGACATGTACCACCATTTCCGCACAGGAAGGCAGAACACATGCTTATTGTTTTACAGTTGTGGTGTTGGGAAAAGGGTAGCCACTCTAAATCTACTGTCTGTGAATACATCAGGTGTGAGTTTTGGTTTGTTTTTTGTTTGTTTGATTCTTGCCCGGTTCTTCATGGGTATGAAATTCAGTGAAACAGTCGTGTATACTAGAAACAGCTTTGACCGATAATGTTCTTTTTAATTGAGATACTTAAGACAAGTATGTATCAATAGAAATGTATCAAAGCTTTCATTTGATATGAATGTATCACAATATAAAAGTCAGCTCTACTTTGAATTATGATCGCTAGGCGATGAAATCAAAGATCTTATATATAAAAAAACTGGAAACATAATTTTTTCTTTATCAGTATTTATTTTGATGATTTAAAGTCTTATTGCCAATATTCTAGGCCAAAATATGTTGTCTCTTTCTGAACATAAGCCCATAAACTATTTACTGAATATCTGGGCCAACTTGCACAAAGCGATCTTAGCGCTAAGATGATCTTTACCCCAATACTTTAACATAGGCTTACGATAATCTTAGCCCTAAGATCGCTTTGTGCAAGTGGGCCCTGGACTCTTGATGAGTGATGACATATTGTTAACAGGAAACAATGGACAGGTCTCCAATACAAAAACAGTACACGGAAAATGTCAACGGCCAAGGTCTTGAGAGCTCAATATCTCAATATGTGTCCAACATTAGCGTCATGTATTATCTGGTACCTCCTGCTCATGAACATATAGAGCTTAATCTCGATTCAGAGGGCTACGGGATTCGGTATGAACGTTGCTGTTGCGGTCTAGCATTGGTGTGGTTAAAGATGACGTAAGAATTGTTCATAATGGGAACAATATTCTGTTGTACGTTTTCATCATTTTACGTTGAACAGTTAAGTTGCCTTGCACCACGTTGCCTACTTCCGTCAACATTATTACTTTGCCACCGCAAATTTTTACTATTATGATGGTTTGACACTTTCGTATTCAAACCGTCACAATATCTAGAATTAGCCTTGGGGAATTAGCTCGGGATCGGGCACCACCTTCAAAGAAACCAAACAAAGTGTCTATGGCCAGCTCCTTTATTGGGGATTTCTCGACAGTCAGTCACATTTAAAATAAGAAATATTTTTACATATAAAGTACAAAGTCATATAGAACATTTACAGTTTCCATAAAAGAAGCAGTTATCACAATAGTGCGTGATATTAAACAATGATTATACATAAGAGTGTAAATGTCATGATATACCAATGTATCATGGGCTAAGTGATAAAACAACCAATTACAAATAACAATGTTAAAGTCAGTCTACAAAGATACCTGTGAACAAAGCTTCCATGTTCTTATGTGATACTTATTTTCAGCCACTCCTAATTATGATTACGCCTTGCTAAATGGGAGTGCCATAAGATATGTCTTATTTACGTATAAACCTAGTTAAACTCAATATCGGTATCGCATATACGCAGATTTAAACATAAATAACAATATGTGTTGGCTGTACTTCTGAGCATATATCATTCATTGTCTTATGCTGGTATATGTTATACTTGAAGGCCATATCTATAATTCATCTAAACTACCGCAGCAAACAAACTATATCTGATAGCATCCACATACACTGAGTTAACGGGCCCATTAACGAATGTCCATTCACATTACTTATATAATACTTATGGTATAATATATGGATATATGTACATTTTTAGGCATTGCTGGTAATGTAGACATGTTTGCTGAAGCTGTGTTACAAATGCATTATGCTCAGACCTATGTAAGTACAAGAGAGTTACCTATCTTTTTTGTACATCGCTAACAGATTAACTAAATGATTACATGGATATTATTACTGATTTTAGCTCTGGCTTAGTTGTGATATTAGCATAAATATGTGTGATGTGAATACATCATATATTAGCTACAGAAATTAACGTTTTCTGCCAGGCTAGATCCATCAAATAACTCATATAAAAATTATTTAAAACAGTCTGGATTCTGTTTATGAACAAGTAATACATGCAATGTATGGTTCATCATAGAATCCTTACATTAAAAGATAATGTACATACCTCGTGTGACATAAAAGGTCTGATCAAAGTGAAATAGTTCGTCTGCATTTACGCGACATTTTCACATATACAAAATAACTGAATCACACTAAAATATCAACACGCAGATAAAATACACAGCTTGCTACCACGACACCCGAATGTTAACATCTTATTTCCGACTCGGAACATGTTTGATATTCAATATATGCTATACTGTGGAGTTAATACTTAAACGATAGTTTTGTCTAAACCTAACGCACGTACATTTGACAGATAAGTCCGTTAAATAGATACAACTCACTTAATACATTTGCACTTATACACGGTCAATAACATAAGATTAAACACCTTTACAGCTGGTAATATTGCTCCATATACGATACAAATTATAAAACAATTTAACTTATAACTTTAGAGAAATAGTAAGGTGAACATGACTTACCTTCAACGAAACCAAACAAAGTGTCTATGGCCAGCTCCTTTATTGGGGATTTCTCGACAGTGAGGTACCCCCGGGGCTAGCCAGTATATATACTCTAGACACCTTGAAAGGTCACGAATTTACTGCATGTTCAATTATCAGCTTGATAAGAAAATTTGAGTTCCTGCGCCGAGAATAGGGATTAAGGCTTGCCTAAGAAGTTTGACCAAGTGATGTCCACATAAGTTGAATAATAATTGATGAAGTAGTCCGAAAATATTGATATGAGTTGGACGTATCAGCAAACGTGTGACAAGCGCTCATTGCGATAGAGGCTGAGACACGTACAGATAGATAATACTGACCATGCTCCAAGGATGTTATGTAATTTTCTAGATAGCTGCGACCTTCACATGTGAGACTGATTGAATACAGCACCTTACATTTAACTTAATATAACACAATAAAGACTATTACCACAGTTAACTATTATATAAATATTGAGGAAAACATGACCAAATTTACAACTATGACAATACCCCTAGGCGTCGTGGAGCTTTTGTCCTCAAAAGCTTAAAGATTGAGAACGTACACAATATGACAATCAATCAAATAAACAAAATACAATATCAATCATGAAATATGAATACACTAGCTGAAACAAATGATACATGATGCATTGCTCAAATATTGCTGCCCACACACTAAAATGATTGCACTGAGGTAGGTGGTTCAAGAATCGTATACAAATTACTGTGGACAAGTAGGAGGTAGGCGCTGAAAGGTTGCTTGAAGATCTTTCGGAGTTGATGAGCATTGTAGTACGAAATCCTAAAGGTATTAAGGATAGTGATGGAGGTTTTAGTAAGCTGGTTAGTTACAATGAAGCCTGGCCAGTTAACAGAGAGGGTGGGGAAGAAGTAACCAGAAATGCGGAGGTTTTCCACA